AGATAAAGAGAGAGACAGAGATAGAGATAAAGAGAGAGAGACATAGAGAGAGAGATAAAGAGAGAGAGACATAGAGAGAGAGATAAAGAGAGAGGCAGAGATAGAGATAAAGAGAGAGAGACATAGAGAGAGAGAGATAAAGAGAGAGACAGAGAGAGAGATAAAAAGAGAGAGAGAGAGACACTCAGAGAGAGAGAAAGAAAGAGAGAGAGAGAGAAAGAAAGAAAGAGAGAGAGGAAGAGAGAGAGAGAAAGAGAGAGAGAGGGGGAGAGAGATAAAGAGAGAGAGACAGAGAGAGAGATAAAGAGAGAGAGACAGAGAAAGAAAGAAAGAGAGAGAGAGAGAAAGAAAGAAAGAGAGAGAGAGAGAGAGAGAGAGAGAGAGAGAGAGAGAGCGAGAGACGATGAGGGTAGGAATTTTGGAATTTATTGTTCTGACTCGAGGCGTGTGGTCTCTGGAGGAAGGCCCCGGTTCGAATCCTCCACCAAACTGTTTAGGGTTCGTTTTCCTCCAAGAAATATTTAGTACCTCCCCTTCTTGAAATCTCTGTCCTATCTGTCGAGCTGGGCATGAATGTATTAGCTGGTGCATAAAGCCAAGACATGACAATGGGTTACTGAACAGCTTAGAAAGGGGCGGGTCTTGTTCTCACGCGGGTCACCTGGTCTAAGGGAAGCTATCCACATATTTCCTCATTAGCAAAAGTTGTTGTCAGCTGTTGTGGAACCTAGTGACTTCTTGGCCGAGTTCTTTCTGTAGTTTTGTAATAGTAATACATGAAGTAATATTATTATTTTAAAAATTATTTTTTATTATTATTGTTACTACTATTGTTATTATTATTATTGTTATTATTATTATGATCATTTTTATTACATGTAATTATTATAATCCACCTGTATCTAAAAAATACATGTACAGTCGAACCTGCTATGACGGCCACCTGTACAAACGACCACTTTCCATTTCCCCCCTTCCATTTTTTCTATATAACTGAACTGTGTAAAACGGTCACCTGTCCAACGCGGCCACGGCCACCTTATTTTATCAACCGACGGTCAAATGTACCTACCTCAGACGGCCAGGCGTGGTCACTCATTGCCTGACGCTTTGTGACACTTTGTTGTAAATGTTGAATCGGCCCCTGACGCTGTGGACGGCCGTCATAATTCATTCACCTGTCGTTATTGTCAGTCCCTCCAATGACTGTTTACCCAAGTTGACCAATGGGTAGACCTAACAATACATTTTCAACTGCTGGTGAGGGAAGCGTGTGATCCGTCATAACCTATAAGCCCCGCCCACAACTCATGCACAAATCGTGTGTGAGGTGACTGGTCACTGTTTTGTTTACCTCTCTAATC